TACTTAGGCGCGATCTACAAATTATCCCCAACGACAGAAACGGGTCAAACACGTTTACTATTGTTATATGACAAGCTCCCAAACGCGTCTGTGAAATGCCGTTTGGAAGCTTGTCGTTCGAGCCGTTTATTCTGTTTGGAAGTTAACTCCTCCCCTTTTCATATGGCTGACTGCTCGTGAATGGCAAAATGTTAAACGCGTTCAGCGAAAGTTGGAATTTGATCGTGATTTAAACAACTTCAAAACTTGTTCAGTGTCCCTACCGTACCTAGGCTATGTAGGCCTAGGCCTATATTTATAATAGTAGTAGCCTGGTAGTAAAATGCTAGCCTACGCTAGGTGAAAGTTTACAAAGAAATGTTTATAATAAAGGCCTAAATTTAATTATTTTTCTTGTTGGGGAAACCCCAATGTTTCTTGTATTTTAGTAGGCTAAGCCCTACCGTTACCTGTAGGTTTTATAGAAGAGAAAGCAATCGCCAGTAACCTTGCTACCCAGATTATAGTGTGCGATGTTTGAATTGACCTATCAAAACAAGTACCTTTTGCCCAACTTTCTAATTCCCACGTGCCTGCACAGCCCGCACAATACAGCATGCAAACACTGACTTGGATCAGCCGCAGTTGAAGAAGTTCGTTGTGGCGATCACGTGATGCCACAACAACGTATGCTATGGCATTGTGTATTACTGTGTAGGCTATATGAATTTAATACATGTTTGTATTATTATATATATTATTATGTTTTAAAAATGGTTAAACCATGGCACATGTTTATATTGCTGAACAAGGCAGTCGGCTATTCCCTTCTTGTGGAGCAGCAGCGCGTTTACATTCCTGAAGGCGGCGTTCAAAGAATCAGATCAGACACTAGACCGTCTACATTCCTGAGTTGGCGGCGTTTAAAGAGAAGACTACTGTATGTGATTGACCTAGTGTCTGCTTCTCTCATGCTTATCTCCTGATCGTGGGAACCTACTTGTGTGGGAACGTTTCTCACTGAATTCACAGTTACTAGGCAATTTGCAGTAATGCAAACTGGTGGTATATGCCTATTTCAAACAGTTTATTTCCGTTCATGACAAAGTAAGAATATCGATACGAAACAAAGTGAATTGATTTTATTTCTGAACGGGACCGGTAGCGGCAGGATTTGGCAGAAGGGGATATGATGTGTCCGATAAAAAATCACGAGGCAAATATTAAAACAGTGTAAATTTTTATTTCATTTCCTTCAACTTAACTTATATACCGGGATGGTGTCCGGCGGGAGATAGTTGTTACTATCATAGTTTAACTTTTATCTATCA